CCCAGGGGGGAGGGGGGCGGGGACTGTGTAAACCCCCCCCCCACACACACACACACACACACACAGGGATCCTCCTTCCTCCTGCCTGCCTCCTCAGTATGGACCCTGTTTTTCCTTCCCATGGCTCTCCCACCCCCTCTCTGCGTGCCCCTTTCCTCCCTCCCCACCTACCCGGCTGTGCAGGTAGTGGTGCTCATATTCCGAGACGGGCTCCCCGTCCAGCAGCACCTGCCCCCCGGTGGGCTGGTACAGATTCTGCAGCAGGGCAGCCACGGTGCTCTTTCCAGACCCGTTGGGTCCCACCAGCGCCGTCACCTGACCAGGCTGCAGGGTGAATGTCAGCCCCTAGGAAACCAGGGAAGAGTTAGGGCTGCCTCTCCTCCCTAAAGACCCCTCCCTTTCTCTTCACAGCAGAGGCAAGATCAGCTTCCCAGAGGCAAAGGAGCTCCTGGCTGTGACCAGGCCCCAGATCCTGCATAAGTAGCAGAGGCCCTCCTCTTCCAGGCACCTTGAGCACGGGCTGGCCAGGGCGACTGGGATAAGCAAAGGAGACATCCCGGAACTCCACGAGCCCCCGCAGAGAGGCAGGGGCCAGTGTCCCTGGTGGGGGCAGATTTGGCTTTCTGTCCAGGTAGTAGAAAACCTTCTCTGCAGCTCCCACGTTGCTCAGCATGTCCCCGCACATGTAGACCAGGGTCTGGAAGACAGAAGCAGAAGGGTTGGCTAATTAAACACACCTCCACCGGAAACTGACTCCCCAGCTCCTCACACACTCCCCCGCACTCCTCCCACAACTATGCTTCTCATGCTCCTGATCCAAAGCAAGATCCTCTACCTTCTAATGCGCAATTTGGCTGGAACTTGAAAGTGGCACCTGTACCCGAGTGTTCCAATCTGTCATGGAAAGGATGTGACGTCCCCACTCCTACCACACAGCACTGCCTCTACTCCCAGGCCTGCCTGCCTAGCTTCGCATTGCTTCCCAGGCCTGCCCACCTAGCTTCGAGTTGCTTCTGCCTAGTTCTGTCTGGCATGATTAAGCAGGCTAACTCTGTGCTAACTCTGTCCAGGCAGCTACCAGAGTGCCCAGCACAGCTCTCCACACACACAAGATGTTTAACAAGGGTCTAGGAAAATTACAAAATAATGCCCTGGATGATGGGATAAATTCTTCTTTGAAAACTGGTAACTATAGGAACTATTTAAATGCTCATTCTGCCTTTCCTAATCAAACTGTACCATGAGTCACCAAATGGCATATGAGGAGCGCCTCCTTGACAGATGTGTTCCAGACAGTAAGTAAAAGAGCATCACCATTGTGCAACAATTTAATGGCCTGAGGCACTGAGTACCACAGGCTGATGTCACCACACAAATGGAGACCCGGACATCGTGTGTCCCCTGAGGGAACACGCCACCGCCTAGAAAGTACTCTCGTGGAAAAAGGAGAAAAAACTTGAACCTTACAATCGTCTAGATTTATCTATCTTTAGACAGAAACTATGGACAGAATAACACGGGATTCAACTGCCAAAATCCTGCAGACAAACAACTGTTTTTCAACACATAAATTGCAAGCGGGAAAGTTTAGATAGATCGGTGACAGATATAGAAAGAAAAAGACTTAAGAGACTTATCAAACTAGCCCAGTGTCGGGGCCTTACTTGAATCCTGATTTAAGCAAACTATTAAATATATGTGTGTGCGTATAAATATATAAAATATGGCTTAGAAGTAAAAATTTGACCATTGACTGATGAAGTTTACAAATTATTATTCATTTTTTAGTTTCATGATGGCTTTCTGGTTATATACTCTGTAAGATGTTTATATTTTAGAGACATACACTGGAAATATTTATAGAGGAAACTTCATGACATTTTAGATTTGCTTCAAAATAATATGGGTGGGGGCAGTGGAAGGGGATACAGGTCAAACAAGATTGGCCTTGAGTTAGTTGTTAATTCTAAAAACAAGTGATGCGTACATTCAGGCTCATTGTATTATTTTGTATCTTTTTTTTTCTTTTTTTTTGCATATGTTTGACAGTCTCTATAACAGAATTAGTTGGATTTTCTATTTGGTGTTTAATTTCCCCAGGAGGACGAAGCGGAAAAGCAGCGGGTGGAAGGGCGCATGCGCAGACGCTCACTCACGTGCACGTAGTATATTTTAGAGACATACACTGGAAATATTTATAGAGGAAACTTCATGACATTTTAGATTTGCTTCAAAATAATATGGGTGGGGGCAGTGGAAGGGGATACAGGTCAAACAAGATTGGCCTTGAGTTAGTTGTTAATTCTAAAAACAAGTGATGCGTACATTCAGGCTCATTGTATTATTTTGTATCTTTTTTTTTCTTTTTTTTTTGCATATGTTTGACAGTCTCTATAACAGAATTAGTTGGATTTTCTATTTGGTGTTTAATTTCCCCAGGAGGACGAAGCGGAAAAGCAGCGGGTGGAAAGGCGCATGCGCAGACGCTCACTCACGTGCACGTAGGTCCCCACGTCCTCCTGGTACAACAGGAAGGAGAGCAGCCCGCCGCGGGTGAGCTCCCCCGCCAGGATCTGCTGCAGCCCACAGCTCAGGATCAGCACCTGCACGCCCAGGTGTAGCAGCTGGGAGTGGGGAAGAAAGAGATGGGCTGAGAACGAGCCTTCCCGTCCTTTCCCCCCCACAGATTTAGCCGCCGGTTCCCACCCCTTCCCCGGGCCCTTAACTTCTCAGCCTCCTCACCCTCCGCACAAGCAGGTACAGGGCTCGTTCCAGGTCTCTTTGCCACCGCAGCTTCCGGCATCGTTCAAGGGCCTCCTTATAACGACAGACCTCTTGCTCCTCCGCCCCAAAGCTGCGCACGGTCTGCAGCCCTCCGACTGCCTCCCGCACCACCTGCCCCGCATTGGCTACTGCATCCTGGATCTCCCGAAGTAGTGCCTGGAAGAGGAAACCACGGTATAGGAGGGATATTTTTTTATTATTCTATTTAACTTTTTTATTATTATTATTTTTATTTCCCAGTTTGATCAGAGACAGAGAAAGAGAGACGGAAAGTGAGAAAGCCAGTCACCAGGTCCAGGGCTCAAACAGCAGTCGGCCATGTGGGAGTCCAATGCCTTTAACCACTGCAGGTATAGGAGGCTGATGTAGCAGAAGACACGGCCCCCCATGTCTCATCCCAGCCTTTTTTTTGGAGAGGTTTTTGCTATAGGGCGCGTGCGATCGCCAGACAGACAGAGAGAGACAGAGAGATAGAAAGCAGGAAATCACCCCCCAGGGGGGATGGCCACGCCGCAATCCCTTCTCCTCCATTCTCCTCTCGGGATCTTGGGCACGCACGCACACGCGCCCGGCATGAGTTTTAAGCCACCGGGTCCGGGACTCGAACCGCGGTTGACTATGTGGGAGTCCAGCGACAGAGCCATTACGCTAACTGCTGGTCCCTCATCCCAGCCTTTGGAATGCTCCCTGAGTGGAACTAAAAGTAGCACCCTATTCATTTTTCCTCTAACTTGATTTTCTTTCCAACAGTGAAGGAGGGAGGAGACAAAATATTAGTGGGCTCTGAGTGTTAGGTCATGTAGGAGCTACCTGCTGTTTTATCAGCCCTCATTTGGGGTGAGTCTTCCACCTCCACTGTCTGAACTGAGAAAGAACGGATGGTTTTCTGAAAAGCCACAGTCAGTTAAGGGTGAAGATGTATTTCAAAATGAATCAAAGGCCTAAACATAGGAGCTAAAGCTATAAACCTCTTAGGAAAACACAGAAGACAAGCTGAATGACACTAGATTGGGCAGTGAGTTCTTGGATGTGAAACCAAAAGCATAGGCAGCAAAGGAACAGAGAAATCAGGCCTCATCAAAATTAAACACGCCTGTGCCTTAAAGGACTCTGTCAACAAACTGAAAGGGCAACCATGAGATGCAAAGAAATATTTGCAAATCATGAATCTGATAAGGTATTAACATCCAGGATATAAGAACTCCTACGACTCAATAACAACAACAAAAATTAATTAATGGGCAAAGGACTTGAATAGACATCCTTCCAAAGAAGATATAAAATGGCCAATAAGCACGTGGAAATGCAAATTAAAACCATACCGAGATGCCACATCACAGCCATTAGGATGGCTATTAACAACAAAAAAAAGACAACAATGGAAAATACTAACAAATGTTGGCAATGATGTGGAGAAGCTGGAAACGTTCTCATTGTGCACTGCTGGGAGAACTGTTAATGGGTGCAGCTGCCATGGAAAATTGCATAGCGGTCCCTCAAAACCTAAAAATACAATTACCTCATGAGCCAGCAATTCCATTTCTGGGTACATAACCCAAAAGAACTGAAGGCGGGGTCTGGAACAGGTATTTGTACATCCATGTTCACAGCAGCATTATTTCCAATAGCTGAAAGGTGGAAACCACTCAACTGTTCATAGACAACTGGATGAGCAAAGTGTGGTGCATGCAGGGAATATTATTCAGCTTTAAATAGGAAGAACTTTTTGTTTTGCTTTTGCTTTTGTCATAAGGCGCATGCACTTGCCAGAGACACACAGAGAGAGGGAAAGTGAGAAATCATCCCCTGGGTGATGACCACTCTGCAATCTCTTCTCCATTCTCCTCTTGGGATTTTGGGCACACATGTACACATGCCCGGCATGTTTTTCAGGTTGCCAGGTCCAGGACTTAAACCACAGAGTCAGCCATGTGGAATCCAGCACCTTAACCACCACGTCACCTGCTGGCCCAACAGGAGGGAAATTTTGACACATGCCACAACACGTGTGCACTTGGAAGACATTATGCCAAGTGAAATAAGTCAGTCACAAAACAAACAAAATACTGTCTGGTTCCACTTACATACAACATCTAGAGTCATCAAATTCATGAAGACAAAAAAGCAGAATGGTGGGTGACAGGAGCTGGGGTGCGGGTAAAGGGGAGTTACTGTGTGATGGGCACAGAGTTTCACTGAAGGAAGATGATGGAGATGGGTGGTGGTGGTGGATGCACAACAACATGGATGTACTTAACAACACTGAACTGGGGCCAGCCAGTGGGGGGTAGCGCAGCCGGATAGCACATGGCCAACTACATGGGTCGAGTCCTAGACCTGGCCTGAGAAACACACCAGGCATGTGTGCGTGCCTGCCAAAAATCCCAAGAGAAGAATGGAGGAGATGGGATTGTGGTGTGGCCACCCTCCCCAGAGTACACGTTCTCACTCTCTGTCTCTCTCTCTCTTTCTCTCCAACAAATGCACATGCCCTTTAGCAAATGTTTTAAAAAAGAAAACAATGCCACAGAACTCTCTATCTAAATTACATGCTGTGTATGTTTCACCACATGAAGAGAGAAAAGGAAGAGGAGCTGAGACACAGACCCAGGACTTTCAGACTGTCCCTACACTCCACCCAAACTCCCTCTGCTGAGTTTAAAGGGAAAAACTCTGCACCTAAGATTCTCTAAGTTATCATTTTAAATCTCCTGTAGGAAGGATATATACAGGCTCCTTTGAGAAGTTAATGAAAAGTTACTGTTTCCCCAGAAAAATGCTCCCTTCACCCCCCTTTCCCCTTCCTCCTCACACACATTTTTCGCTTATAAACCCAAGGGGTCACGGACCATCTGAACGCAAATGTCCGCTGATGGGCGACTGGATGAGAAAAATGTGGCATAAACATACATCTTCACTCTAAGGACTGAGGTGAGGAGATCTCTCTCTGGCAGAGCCTCTGGCCAAGAATGTGGTATCTTCCCCAGCCCTCCGTTTCAGCCACCCCCAGGGTTCCCAGGCACCCACGTGTACCTGATGGCGGGCATTGTACACCTTCTCGGCTGCTATTGAGAGCGGCATATCCAGCAGGGAGAGGAGTGTGAGCCGCGGCGACATGCTGAGCATGAAGCCGTACAGCCCCACCACTTTCACCAGGCTCCGCAAGAGCACGTTGGCGTTGAGAGGAAGCCAGTTGCTCATCAGGCTGGTGTCCGAGCTCAGCCGTGAGTTCAGCTCCCCTGAGAAGGGCAGAGAATGCGAGGAAGGCCTGAGTGCTGCAGAACCCCCGGGCACCTCCTGACGCTCCATCACACAGCCCCCACCACCACCCCATCCCCGCTTCACTCAGATACAGGGCAGAGGCTGCCTCTCCACCCTGCCCAGAGGGAAAGAAAGAGACCCAGGCCTTGCCTAGCTCATGGAGAGAGGGAGGAGGGAGGCTGTCAATGGGGAGGAACTGAGGGGCATGGAAGTTTCAGGGGAATCTCAGACCTGGACGCCAGGCCCCACCTGTCTTAGTCTCCTGGAAAAAACTGAGGTCCTGGCGCAGCAGGGAGGAGAAAAGCCGCTCCCGGATCCGAGAGTTGATTCTGGACATGACGAACGTGAAGAAGCCTCCCCTGCAGCCTACAGACAGTGAGCTGTGGGGTGGGGAGGACAGGGCAGGAGGGTGAAGGGGAGACAGATGCAGAGAAAGTGGGGGAGGGTGAGAAGGGAGGAGACAGCCCAGAAAGAAATATAAATCAGGACCACAGCACAAGAGGTAGAAGAGAAAAAAATGAGAGAGGGAGATAGAAAGAGACAGAGAGAGGAGGCATAGGGATAAACAGGGGATGAAGAAAGGAAAACTGGTGAGCTAGGCGTGGGACCAAAATCCTAACACAGACACATTCACACGTCTCTCTGAACCTCACTCTGTGCTAGACATGAGACAATACAACAGAAGTGAAAAGAAATGGCCCAGTGCTTGCTTTGAACCCAGTCTCCCACTGTGTTGCCCCTCAGGGCTTCTGTTCCTCAGGGCTTCTCCCAGAGTCCTTCTTCCCGGTCATAATCCTCCTCTAAGGGAACTGCAGTAAGGGACTCCCTGCCCTCCCATTCTCTAGAGCCCTAGAGTCAGGCTGTCCCCACCTTTCCTCCTAGAAGGTGGAGCATTCCTCTTAGACTAACGAACTTTTTACAATACAACTTAAAGGAGAAAATATAAAAGCAGGCATTTTACAAAACCATTCCCAATATAAATTTAGTTACCATATTTAAGAGACTGTTAGGATAATCAGACATGAAATAATAAAGATTTGGATTTTGGTGATTACAGTGAAATTGGAGAGGAAGGAGACAGAGGAGAAACAATGTGAAAGTAGAAAATGACAGGGCCAGGGCCAGCAGGTGGTGTGGTGGTTAAGGCACTGGACTCCCAGATGGCCGACTATTGTTTGAGTCCCAGACCTGGTAGCTTTCTCTCTCTCTCTCTCCCTCTCCCTCTCTCACACACACACACACACACACATACACACACGCCCTATAGCAAATTTTAAGATAATAATAAAAAATAAAATTAAATAAATCATTCAAAACCAAAAAAGGTGCTGGATTTCCAACTGGCCAACCATAGTTCAAGTCCCAGATCCCGTGCCTTCAGAAATCACACCAGGTGTGTGTGTGTGTGTGTGTGGGTGTGTGTGTGTGTTCCTGTGCCCAAAATCCCAAGAGAATGGAGGAGAAGGGATTGTGGCATGGCCATCTCCCCTGTGGGGTTATTTCTCATTGTCCTTCTCACTGTCTCTGTCTTTCTCTGGCAAGCACACATGCCCTACTACAAAAAAACTAAAAATTAATTAATTAATTAATTAAAGAAAAGGGTTAGTGTTGAACATGAGGAAGATATGATGGTGAGTCTTAGGGCCCAGGATACTGGTGGCTTCATGAATGGGAATAAAAGGGAGCCACTTTCTTTTTACTTAGCTGCTTTTTGCCAGAGGGTATGTGTGCTCACCAGAGACAGACAGAGAGAGAAAGGGGGAGAGAGAAACCGCACCCTTCCCACCCCGTAAGAAATAGTCACGTCACAGTCCCTTCTTCATCTCTCCCTCCTTTCAGAACCCAGGGCACGTGTTCACATGTGCCCAACATGCTTCCCAAGCCACAGGGTCTGGGACTTAAACAGCGTGGTCACCCATGTGGGAGCCAGCTCCCCTAACCACCAGGCCACAGGCTGGCCCAAGGGAGCCACTTTCAAGAAGACCAGGAGAGAACAGGGTGCATCTGGAGCGCTGGGTGCACGGACCGTGAGACGAGAGTGGCGGTCCTATGGTAAAGGACACGAGTGGGTGGGCAAGACTAGAGCTCCCTGCCGAGAGAACTGAGTCGGCTCCATGTTTCTGGAGATCAAAGAGCTGAGTCCTGGGGGAGGTCCATATTTAAGGGTCCAGAGAAGGAAAAGTCTCCAGAGGAAGCAGAGTGGATTGGGAGGTAGAGAGGGAGTTCATAAAAGCTAACTGCACGAACTGCACCGGGGACCAGCAGATGGCGTAATGGTCATGTCGCTGGACTCCCATGTGATAGACCACGGTTTGACTCTCAGACCCAAAGGCTTAAAACTCACACTGGGCACGTGTGTGTGAGTACCCAAAAGCTTGAGAGAAGAAATGGAGGAGAAGGGATTGCGGCATGGTCATCCCTCCTGGGGGGTAATTTCTTACCCTCTGTCTCTCTGAGTACACACGCTGCTCTGAGTACACACTTCCTATAGCAAAAATAAAAAAAAAAAAAAAAACTCTCTAAAAAATGATAATCTAACTGCAGCAAGAGAGTGGTAATAAGAAAGTATACTAGTGCCAAATGCTGCAGAAAAGCCACAGAGAATTAAGAAAAAAGAAAAAAGGCACAGTAGGGTCAGCCAGCGGCTTGACGATTAGGCAGCTGGATCCTACAGGGCCGACTGCACAGGTCATGTCCCAGACCCAGAGGCCTGAGAAACAGGCCAGGTG